AACAGTATGTTAATTAGCAAACTGACAAATAGTTTTAACGATTTTGCAGCAAATATGATACATTCAAAACTACAATATTTCACCAATATGATTAATGGTGACCCATCTCTGTCACTTCTCACAAAGACCACTGAAATCAGACTTAAACAACTTCAAGAATTTTTCTGACTTTATGACAACCCTTTGATTGGTTGGCCCACTTCTTTGAGCAAGTTTCATCATGACAACTTTTTTGGCAATATACTTTCCTTTTATTTACAATCGAATTTGTCATTTTCAAACACATCAGTAAACAATTCTAAATTCAGAATTAAAGGGGGTAAAATTCCACTTCAAGACGTCATTTCTTGGAAAAAAGTGGATAAATTCATTACAACACAAATCAATATTATTTCTTGATTAATTAATTTGTGAGGTAATTTTCTTATAAATTTTAAAAACCTCAGTACTCAGTTATCCAGAATGGTTTTCTCATTTAGAAAAGACTATCATATTAAACCTCGTGCAGTCGAATAGAATCAAAGATCAATATATTATTAGTCCATATGTTCCTGCTGGTTTTAAAACTTCCTCTCCTATGGATTCTTCTAAGGTATCAGATTGGATTGCTTTTTGGATCCCACCTGAAACAAACTTTTATAATCTACCTTATCTGGGACAGCCTATTATTGGAAAATCTTATAAATCCCCACTTTTTTTAAACAAAATTTTATTTCAACACTTCATTCCGATCAACTTCACAGCTAATATATAATCTCTATCAAAAAAGTAAAATACATTTGTAGATTGTACTGGTTGTACTTTTCATGAGGATACATAATGTGCCAGATTTTCTGTTGCTACTCAATGGCTCTTCTGTAGAAACCTAATTGATATTGACTTACCTCAACTCATTCAAACCAACTATTTCACCTCAGTAAACTCAGAAAAACTTTACATTTTAAAAAGAAATATCAAAACTGTATCTGATCAAGTTACATAAAGATATCTAGATATGAGATCAGTCATTATACCCAATAATCTTTTAATCAGTAATAGCTCCCCTTTTTGTTTCATTGAATCTTTAATATTTCTACTAGCAACTTGTATACTCTTAAATCAATTCAATTTGTTTTCAAAGATGAACACTCACTTACTTTTTATACTGATGGTTCTCATAAATTTATTCCTCACTTCACTTTTCCTAATTCTTATTTAAGTTCAGCTTTTCTTTTTGTTCATAATATTTTTAACATAGAATTCACTACTGTCATTCCTTATTTTTGGGATAACTCTATTAATGCTGAAATTTTTGCTTTACTTCTAGTTTTACTTATCTGCCCTTCTGATTCTGAGATTAACATTTGTACAGATAGTTTATCACTCATTTACTCATACAACAAAGTCAGAAAACAGAATGTCTTCAATTATCTTTTTTTTAATATTCAAACTATCTTTTAATTTATATTAGTCCTTCATATTCAAACTCTTGGAAGAATAAAATATTTCCTTAATATTAAACAAAGTAGCCACGCATTCTGATAATCCTTATAATAATAAAGTCGATCTCCTCGCTAAATCTTCTCTCTTCCACTTCCCTCTGCCTATAAATTTCACACAAACACCTTATTTTTTTTACATTTTAACTTTTAACCACATGCCTATTCTTACTACACTACGTTCTTTCCTAAAAGATTTTACTAATACCAAACACTTCATCGATTTTTACTCTTTAAAAAAAAATCTTAAATATGTCTTTACATATAAACTGGTCTCTGACTTTGAATTTATCAAATTTGGCATCCCTACTAAAATATCATTTAAAGAATCCCAAGTGTACTGTAGAAGACTCAAGTTCCTCTTTGAACAAATTCCAACAATTGAATTTTTAAAATCAACACAATCTAAGCTCTACAATTTCTTATGGAAATGCTGCCGTTGTCTCACTGATGATGAAACTTTCAATCATATATGGACTTGCGTTAAAATCAAAACAAAAAAGAAAAACATTATCACTGAAGCTTTAAAATTACTCAAACAATAAATCTTTATCTAGACTTTTAAACTTGTTTACTCCCAAAATATTACTTCACTTCTTCTTCCATCACACCCATATTGATGCCTCAGAGCAGTTCCTTACAACTTTATATTTATAGATTTCATCAAAGATATTATTCCCACTGCTCTTCCTAAATTACTCGATTCCTTCACAAAATCCTCTTTACTTATGTCTAAAATTCTATTCCCTTTTTACGACTTTATTTTTGATCAAACTTATGAAATTATTTGGAAAACCAGATGTGACGCTACTATTACCAAAGAACAATCTCTTAACATCTCACAATATAATAAAAAACTTAATTATAGTTTGTTACATTATTTTATTATCAATAGTTTTTCTAACTCTTTTTCTTCTAATCATGTTTTAAAATATGAATATACTTCTTTAATGACTAAATCTTACGTATATGAACGGAAATAGTCTTTACTACTAACACAGTAATAACTATTTGTCAAACATTTTGTTCATTTTAGTTGGGTGGTAATGGTAATTCTACTAGTGATTATTACCAGAGCCTAACGGGATAACTGGTTGGTCTAATTGGAGTTAGTTCACTAATAAGGATAATTAAGCAGCATTTTTTATTTTTTCTACTTTTGTATTTCTTTTATTTAAGGATTTTAATATTTATTTTTAACTGATTATGAATTTTATTAATATATAAATGTAATTCGATAAGTTACAACTTGGTTGCAACTCCTTGTAAATTTATTTTAATATAAAAATTCATAAATAGTTGCAACTAGTTAAAAATAATTAAGAGAACCATCTTTAGTGTATACAAAAAAGTGGTATTTATATGAGAAAAATGATATGTAATTTTGCTTACTTTTACTTTAGATAGATTTGTTGCAATTGATATATTCGAAGGATCATGTGATAGAAAAAGATTTGTAAGTATCAATTGCAAAGATATTTTTTATCATGATAGGTAATATTTTAAAAATTAGCCCATTAGGTTTCTTAATTTAGAGAAAATAGTTCTTTTGCCTATACTTTTCTTCCTCAGACTTGATAATATCTGTAAGTATCATAAGATAAATAGTATACTGTCTATTAAAGTTTTTACTAGTAATTATAGGTTTTGGAATAGCTGATTCTTCTTTTTATTTCTAGACATTAATAGAAATATTTGAATTCATCTTCTCAATCTTATTAAATGTTTGTGAGCAAATTGAAGTAGGCATTGGAATACCATCTAGCTTGATAATATCTAAGTAAAACTTAAACTTATTTGCTCGAAAGATTCTTTCAAAATGATCTGTATACCCATTCTGATAAGCGAAGTATGTATCTAATGCTTTTTGAAGACACTTTTTAGAAGGTCTTTTATTTTTAGATCTATTAGAATATGATTATTAGGATTAATAATACATTTTATATTAGTAAGCTTTTGGAAGTGAGAATAAAAGATCCTCTTATATCTCATTGAAGAATATATATCTTACTTAAAGATGAAAACTATAATTAATACATTGCAACTTTTAATGTTGTAACATATATTACAATTAGTTTTAATCTATATATGTTACAACTTATACTATTGCAATATATGTTGCAACTAATTTTAGCTTATGTTGTAACAAGTTGTAAATTTGAAATTAATTGCTATATCATCTTTAGTCTTAATAAATATCATTTCTAATCAGATAAGAATTTTGCCAAAGCCTTCTTTTTAAATATTCTTGAATATGATTATCAATCTCTTCAACTTATTTTGTTATATGTTTATCTATATTATATTCTGAAAGAACTACATGCATTTTTTTTCTATGATAAGTATTGTGATATTTTGCATTATAATTTGCTCGATTAGTAATATCACCACTATTTTTATATTTATATAATACATATGTGACATATACGACCAATGCTAACTTTATTTGATCTTTTTCTTGAAGCTTTCCTTAAGAATATTTGTCATTAGATTACATGCAGATTTTAGATATTAAATTACTTTTAAAGATAATCAATTAATTAATGATTTTATTTTTTAAATATAAGTTAAAATTCTATAAAAACTTTAAAATACAGTTTGATTTCATTATAATTTAGCAAAGAATGATGAAACAGCTTAATGTAATTACTGTATATTTATATTATTTATTAATTTACAAGTTGATTAATTTACTTTTTAAAAAATAATTCAAAAAAAAATAATTATATAGCAAAAATTTTAATAAAATATTAATAATTAGAAATAATAATAAAATTATTACATTTAGTTATAATAAAAGTATTATATCTTGAAAACCAAATAAAATTATAATTTATCAAATTCAAATATTATATTACAAAAATTGTATTTATTAATTAAATTATTAAATTATTTTAATTTTTTTTGTAAAGTATCTGATTGGATGAATAAATGCATCGCCTCCTTAATAATGACCCAAATTTCAATTGTGTAACCTGTTAATTTTGAGATGTAAATTACGAACTATAAGTATTTATTTAATTCATTAAACTTTACCCCATTGTAGCATAATAACATCTTATACATTGGTTAATACAGAGTTTCCAAAAAAATTTGCCGAAAAAAAATATTTGGTTCGTTGGACAAATCATTGGAACTTATAACTTTTACGGCCTTTTCGAAAAAAAACTTTTTTTTATAGTAATTGATAAGCATTCAAACTTTGTTTCAGATGATATGCGTTATGACAACTTAACGCATTTAAAAATTTGTATTTGTTTAAAAAATTCTTTTTATAACATGACATGAATAAACATCAATTGTATTTTCACGTGGAATTCCGAACTAAAAATTCTTTATTTTTTCCGGAATATCCGGAATTTCCGCGGAATTTCTAATTTCTTTATTTAAACAATTGTGTGATATGGGTTTGATATAGCCACAATATTTTTTTTTTTTTTTTTTTTTTTTTTGCTCATGAAAAAATTACTAAATTTTCTTATTTAAATAATAATAAAAACTCTCTCATTTGACTTATTGATCATGTCTTCTAACAGAGTTAATTCAGTGAACTCGAATCCTTCACGTCCGATTTGCAGGTATTTTGTTAGCGGATATTGTAACAGAGGGACAAGTTGTCATTTTTTGCACATACAAGAAGATAGTAGTAATAACAGTGGGGGTAGCGCACAATCCAACCAAAGTAATGGTGAAAGTTCTTCCTCAACGTCGCATAAACCAAATTATAACTCGAACCGTCATAAAAATAAGAGTGCTCCTGAAGATTTGCCGATTTGCAGATTCTTCTTGGAAAATCGTTGTATGTTTGGAGATAACTGTTGGAATAGACATGAAAAACCCGAGAATGACACTAATGTAGAGAGTTCTACTAGCACTATTTGTAGTCAGAAAAACGACTTGAAAAATCCAAAGGACAAACAAAAAGCAAAAGAGGTTGTTGAAGAGGAGTATACATGTGCTATTTGCTACGAGACTCCCAAAATGTTTGGATTGCTTGTACAATGCGATCATATATTTTGTCGCAATTGTATACAAGAATGGCGCAAAACAAGTAATGTCTCAAGTCCTTTCCAAGATGTTGATACAACCAAAACATGTCCCGTATGCAGAAAGAATTCTCCATATATTGTCCCATCACCTCGTTTTGCAAAATCAGGAGACCAAAAGGATCAAATAATTTCAACGTACAAAGAAAAAATTTCTCGTATTCCTTGTAAATACTTTGAAGAAACTAGAACATGTCCTTTTGCTGATGCTTGCTTTTATCAGCATGCTAATCCTGATGGAACAAGATGCAACTTGGGACCTCCTGTCAAACGAAAGAAGAGATCATATCTTTCAAGCAATTTCAGATACATGTCAGACAGTGATATTGATTTTTCTATCTCTGAAATTATTGGTGGTTTACACTTTAACTTTTCTAGTTGGGACGTTGAAATGGAATACGATGAGAATGCTGGTGGTTGGGGAGGTATTGACGATGATGAAGACGAAGAAGAGAATGAAGTCCTCAACAATTTTCATGGCGGCTGGGATACTCCAACAGACTGGACTGACAACACACGTGGGTGGGATGGTTGGGATATTGAAACAAACAATGCCGATGGTATGGAATGGTAGAACCAATTATCACATTTATCATCTAACAGTAATTGACTATAGATGGGCTGTACTTTAGCTTGTATAAACCAACAATATTTTCTTTTTTTTCTTCTATAAATACGTATATATATTTTTACTTAATTAGTATGCTCATATATAGTATAAATATAATAAATAAAGGTTAATTATCTTTTTTACTTTTAGTAGATGATGTTTTAACTTATCGTATTTGTTTCAAAACACTATGAATTCGATATATTTAAGTTAATAATATTAATTTATCTATCACCCATATATAGAGAGGGAGAAAAAAAACTCTAATTTTGAGAAAATTTTATTTACCGTACTTTTTTCATTGCGATCATTTGTACGAATTCATAACCAAGAGAGTCTGGATATTAAAGGCTGGACCACGATGACACAATTGACATGGAATTCATGGAAATAAATGGTCAAGAAAATTTTTACTTGAAAGTTTCTAACAATTGACGGATTTATTCATTCTTTTAAAATTCATAATCTATTTGGCTCGAATTATTGAAAATGTACAAATAACATGCTAACGAAATAGATGCGGGCGAATTACCTTTTCTGTATCTGATAATATTCGGTAAATTCATACCTCGGTTTCCTAATTAGCTTTATTCCGAAAATTGATTTTCTCTGCTGCGCCGCTCATATGATAATCACGAACAGCATTTGAATTTTGACCATTGACAAAAGTTTTCAACCACATGACTTCATTGACACCCGTGTAACCTTTTTCATCCTTTTTAATACAATGGAAAGGGAGGAAACTGCCGACAAATTCAAAAATTAGTTAGTGCTAAATATTGATTTGATCGAATTTAGCATTAATTGGTGCCAATACCCATATTTTAAGGGGTAGTTATTTGCTATAGAAGGCAATGAATATAACGTATATGAAATCCTATTTGTCAGATATTTGTTACGATTAATTTCTTAATGCCGTAATGCCGACCAAAGAATAACGAGGTAAATAAGTGACGATACTATCTTCGGTTTTTATCCAAAGCGAATGCCTAGCTCTAGATCCGTATTATTGAGAATTTTAATTATATTAATATGCTCTATATTTTGTTCATAAACAAATCTCATATATAAATGAGCTCTTTCTATTTGTTATTATGAAAAAGTAATATTAATAAAAGAGAATACAATAATACTTTTTATACTAGATTTTAAATTTTAAACGACGTATTTTTAATTAAAAAATATATATTTTTTTTAAAAAACAAATTATTTAATTTAAGATACATAATTATTTTATAATAATTGTTTTTTCAAGATTTTTTTCTTATAAAAACAAAATATCTTATTTTATAAAATAAAAATTTTATTTATTTTACTAATTAAATACGAATATAAATACAAAAATCATTAAAAATTTAATAAAAAATCAAAGACACTTACTTATATTTAAAATAAAAGTAATAAAGTTTTAAATATAAGAAAAATTAATTAATCTGATTTCATAAATTATCTCATATAATTTAAGTATTTATATTTCTATTAAATATATTTTTTTTCTTTATAATAAAATTAGTATATAATATATAATAATTTTATTTTATTTGAAAATAGAAATAATTAAATAATTTAAAAATAACTTACAAAATCTTTTCTTCTTTTTTTAAGATTTTAAAAAAAATTTATATAACAATATATGAAATATATGAGTACTTTCTGAAGAATTTTTTAAAAATAATTAAACTTTCACCAGAAAATCACCTTTTAATTAAATATTATTAATAACATAATTTTTTTTATATTAAAAATATATAAATATAAATTAATATATTTGCATTTATAAATAATATTATTTTATTAAAAAATAATTATCATCATTTAACTTTAATTCTATTTTAATTAAAACTTTTTAATTTTAAATTTTAATTTTAATATAAATTTAGCTACCTAAATCTCTTCAATATTCCATGATTTGTTTCAGTAAAATTTTAATAAATTAGTATTTATTATAATAGTTTTGGCATTTTAGCATTTTGTCATAGTTCAGTATAAGTAATTATAAGATTTTAATATAAGTTTTAAAATTTTGGTATTTTGGTAAGTGAAAAAATCCTCTAGTTTCTCCAGTAATATTAATGCTAGATAATAAATAATTATATATTTACTAGAATATAAAATATGTAAAACTCTATTAGCTGAACTATATAATTATTAAGTTTTACAATTTTTAATATTATTTTATTAATAATATATCAATTAATTTTACAATCAATTAAATAAAGAGAAATTTATGTATTGCTAATTCTCTTTATTGTCTTAATTCTTAAGATCAAAAATAAAAAGTGCGACTATAATAAAAAGTGATTATATAAAAGGATTTTTTTATAGTATTATTAAATATTAGTTTCAAAGTGGTATGATATAAGAACATTGTAATTATAAAAACTTTTTTTATATAGTATTAATAAAAACTGGTTTTGTAAAAAATATGTTTATAAAGGATCTACTTATTATTAAGATAGGTCATTAGACAAAAATCAACTTTATTCCTTAGATTGTAAGGTTTCGTAAGCAAATTTGTCTGCTTATTTACTATAAATTCTTTTCTGATTTACTTTTATAAATAATTAATATTTTAAAAAAAAAATTTTTAAATTTAAAGTGATAATAATTGAGATTATTTATTTTTGTTTTTATTTTAATATAAAAAATCATGTGATATAGCAAAATTTTGCCTATTTCAATAAGTACATTTTAAAAAAAAAAAAAAAATATTACCTTATAAATTATAAATAACATTTTGAATAAATGCAAAATCTTATCTTATAATTACTAGTCACATAAAAAAATCTTACTACATAATTTTAATTATATTTTGTAAACTTATCTTATACATCTTAAGATATCTTTTTAAAATTTTTTATATAAATCTTATATTAGATTTAAGCTTATACAAAGCTTTAGTTTCATTATATAACTTGATTTTTTCAAATATTATTTTATCAAGTTTTAGTATTTTAGATAGTATTAAGAAATAGTGTTTTTAAAAGATATCTGTTTCAATTTAAATTAGATTCAGATTTGATAGATTATATTAAATCAGATTATCAGATTCAAAATAGATTTGGATTAGAATTCAAATTTGATTCAATCTGATAGATTTGGATTTGGATTTAAATTTAATCCATCAGATTTAAATATAGTTTCAAATCTAATTATAATTAACTCTCTATAAATGTATTTTCTATAAATACATATCCTTTATAAATGCATTTTTTAGCCTGATTTCTAGTTTAAGACATAATGCTAAATGTATACCCTCTCTATTCACATTGTGCAATAATTTTCTGATCTAGCCTATATAAGGTTGCTAGGCGAAATCAAGAGTTTAGACAGGCATCTAAATGGTAAAGGTAAAACTTGATTAAATTATATTAAAATTTTATAAAAATCTACAAAATTCAAAAAAGGTAAAACTATATCAAAGCTTATAAAAATGGCGAAACTATATCAAAAATTTAGTAAAAATTTAGTAAAATTAAAGATTTAAATGTTTAGCTAAATCCAAAATAAGTTTAGACAAGCAACTTTAAGCCTATATTAAAATATATTATCTAAATTTACATACATAATATTCACATAACTTTATAATAATAAAATTTTTATCAATTGATATTTATCTTACAAATAAAAAGTCATTTTTTTTTTGAATATATCATTGTATTATGTATTCACTTTCCTTTACTCTTTTTCATGTTTTAGCTATATATTATAGACGTATCTGGATATTTGACTGAAAGCCATTTGACTGAAAACTATTTGTCACACATATGCATAATATAAATAACAATTTTATAGTAATTGTATCAATTGAAATGTGATGTTTAATGCAGTGATAAATAGATTCAGTCAAATGACTTTCAGTCAAATGTATTGTAACCTATTTTAGATGTTAGGTTTTAAATAAAGTTTAGTAAATATAAGTTTAAAAAAACTTATTTTTTAAAATTTAGTTTTGAAAAGTAAAAAAACCTTTGACTTTTTAATAATTTTAAAGCTAAATATTTATTAGATGTATTTTTTAAAAGAGGCTGCACAAAATTCTATAATAAAAAATCTTTCTTTTTTTGTTTAAATTAATATTGCAATATTATATTAAGAATGTACTTATTATAATTATCATAATTTTTTCCAATATGTCATTTTCTTAAAAAAAAATATACCTTTCAAAGTCTCAAAAGTATGAATTTTGTTTATATACTGATAAAATAAGAAAACTTGAACTGAATATATAGATTAGATTGAAAAAAAATAAGTATTAGAGTTAATAAATCTACTATATACAAAATTTAAAGTAATAATAAATGACTTATCTCAACCAGAAAATAAGCATCATAAACCTGTCACTTTTCCTAAGTTAGAACTTGCTTTTAAATAGTTTGTATTAAATTATTAATATCAAACGATTTTAAGTGATATATTATTAATTGAAAAAGTAAAATTATTGGCAAATGAATTAAAATTTCTGAAGATATCTTGAAATTTTCCTCTAGATAGCTTTAAGATTTTAAGAAACATAATGGAATTTATCAAGAAAATCTTCAAGAAAAAGCAGTATCTTTTGATCAATTTATTATTACTGAAGCTTTACCATTAAATGTGTTGAATATCCTCTTGAACAAAATTATAATATGAATAAATAAGTCTTTTTTACTAGTATATATATATTTTTTTAATATTTTATTTAATATAAATATTTTTTATAAATTAAAATCAGATTAGACTTTAGCTACAAAATGTCTTTTTAAGCATAAAAAAAGAAGTGTCTTTTTATTGCTTTATGTGTAAATACTGATGGATCACATAAATTGCTTCCTTTAATTATTAGAAAATATGCAAAATCACAATATTTTAAAATGTTAATATTTACAACTATTTAATGACATATTAAAGTAATTCTAAAGCATGAATACTTACATATATTTTTCAAGAGTGGCTTCAGGAATTTGATTATCTAATAGCTTGTAAATATAATGAACAACATGTTTTACTATTGTTAGATAATTATTCAAGTCATAAATTACAAGATTTAGTACTTTTACATGTTAAAATTTATTTTTTACCACCTAATATAATTTTAAAATTACAACTTTTATATGTGAGAATTATTATGTTTTTTTAAAAGATATTATTGTTATTTATATATCTGGTAAGTTTTAATATTTTTTTATTAAAAAAATTGTATTAAAAAACAAATATTTAATTTTCATTAATTTTAGTTGGATACTAGAACAAATTAAGACTGATAAAGATTTAAAAATAGAGTTTTACAAGCAATCTAATAATAAATTATTTAAAGTTTAAATGAAGTTACAATTAAAACAATTTAAAATTGTTAGCATCATACTAAAATACTTTTTTTGAATAATGCTGATGATATTGATAATGTTGATGATATTGATGAAACTGATAGTCTAATACTTAATGAGGTTTATTATACAATTAAAGCTCGTCGTCTTTCAAATACAATAAGAGTAAAAGAATTTCTTACAATTTCAGAAGAAGATATTATTTATAAAGTTCTTGAAAATGATTAAATTATTATAGAACTTGTAGATATTTTTAAATTAAATAGATATACAGTCAACCCTTGATATAACGAATTTTATGTCCTGAACTTCAACTTCGCTATAGAGCTATAGTGAATTTTTTAAAGAATTTGATTGGCTAGTTCGTTATAACGAGGGTAAATTTAATATAGTTGTCCAAAAAATTCGTTATATAAAAATTCGCTATAGAGAGGTATGACTGTAATGACCAAACATGGAATGCGGTATTGGAAAGAGCTAAACAATATGAACTAACTTACAAAGACACTACCGCAGTACAAGCTTATATGAATAAATATAGTGTCCCTTCAGTTGTTGACAATCAAATGAATACTTTAAACAATGCTATCGCTGCATTATCACAACAAGTACAACAACTTAATGTAGGAAATAACAGGCGAAGCTATCAAAGCAATCAAAGGAATAATCAAATGGGCTTCCAACAAAATAGCCAGCCTAATAATAATAGCAATCAGTTTAATAATTACTCTGCAAATCGCAATCGTGGAAATCTTACCTGCTATGACTGTGGACAGCCTGGTCATATCAAAAGAAACTGTCTTCTCAATACCCTATTCAATAACCAAAGCAACCAACAAGCAAATGTTTCAGTTAATCCACCGCACATTGTAAATCCAACTCTAGCAAATAATTTAACAGCTAACATACCACCACCTGTTAATAATCCAGTTAATAATAATCTACCAAACAATCCCAATAATCAAGCATTACAACTGTTGGCACAATTGTTAGGACAACAACAAGATGATAAGTCTTTAAACTAGAAGGTGTACCTCACGAGGGTAATAATACGAAACCTTCTTTTGTTCCCTCTAACTTATCAATACAGAAAGTATTAATAAATAAAAGGAGACGAGTAGTCAATGAAGAGGATTCTGTCAGAGAAAGAGAAAATCAACAAAGAGATACGGTTGCAAAAAGGATTACCAAACCAAAAGGAAAAAGAAAACCTCCAGCTGCGCCACCTGTAGTTAACATGATGCCTCTCTATAACATACAACAACTGTTCGACCAACCAGCCAACATAACCAATGGACAGTTATTAGCAACAAACCCTAAAGTAGTGAGAGATCTAATGAATAAATTAAGGAAGCCAATTAATAGAAAACTAAATAAAGGCAAAGGCCTCGAAGTATCACAAGGGGATAATCCATTTTCATTTGAAGTACTCCTATTCAGATCTAAACCAAGCAATGATAATGAAGCATCGAATGAACTGACTGGTTCTAAGGAAATAGACACAGCTAAAAATGAAGAAGATGACGTCCTTGCAATAAATGAGACATATCAAACGACTATTAAAAACAATAACCAAAAGTCGACCGCCTTATACTGTCAAGTACATATTAAGAATAAGGAAATATCACTAATCATTAACTCAGGTTCTTCAGGATGCATTATGTCCACTGCATTAATGGAAGAACTTGGAATGGAATGTAATGCTGTATCCAATATAATAATGGTTCATGTTAATGGTGAAAGAAGAAGACCTCTAGGAAAAGTTACTAATGTTCCCTTAAGAATAATGGGAAAAATAATTTCCTTTGATACTATAGTAACTATAACAGATTCCTATGAAGCTATTGTAGGAAATGATTGGTTAGAAAAGACTGACGCTGAAATAAGTTATAAAAATAAAGTTATGACACTTTACTGGGGCAATCATGCAATAAATGTGCCAATTGAATTCCGTCAATCCCCAAAAATAAGGACCGAATCAATTAATGATGACGAAAGTGAGGAAGAATCTGAGGAAGAAGAATATGAGGAGATTAATAATGAAAATGAAGAGCAAGAAGAACTATTTTGCTATACAGAGGAATTATCTGTAGAAGAAGTTCAGGCAATCGATCATGAAATGAAAAGTCTAGCGGAACAAAATCAAATCATAAGAGAATCCTTCTATCAATATAAGGAAACAGAAAAAGGAACCTTTCACGTTGGAAAGCTTACGCCAGAACAGTCTGAAAAGTTTGATAATTTCATGGCACAATATACTGACCTTTTTATTTGGAAACCTGATCAGTTTGGAAAAACAAATGTAATAACACATGCCATCGATACTGGAGAGGCGACTCCTATAAAGCAAAGGTTCTATCGCACCTCATATAACAATCAACAGTTCATAAAGGAAGAAATTGATCGACTATTGAAAACTGGTTTAATAAAACCATCAAAAAGTCAATAGACTTTACCTGTAGTTGTAGTGGAAAAAAAGAATGGCAAGAAACGCTTATGTGTCGATTACCGTAAGCTTAATAATGTTACCAAAAGGGATCATTATCCACTACCACATATTGATGATATATTGGAAATATTACAAGGCTCACAGTGGTTCACCTCATTGGATCTTGCTAGTGGATTCTGGCAAGTTGAATTAGAACCAAAGGATAGGGAAAAAACCACTTTCATTACCAGATTTGGAACTTATGAATTCAATGTCATGCCTTTCAGTCTTTGTAATGCTCCTGCCACATTTCAAAGGTTAATGGATACTGTCTTACGAGATATCTTATGACAATATGTAATCGTCTATGTTGATGATATCAACATTGATTCAAAATTATTTGACGATCACCTTCTACATTTAGAATAAGTATTTCTACAATTACGACAAGTTGGACTAAAATTAAGTCCAGAGAAATGTTTCTTCTTTAAACAGAAATTACCTTTTCTTGGACATGTTATCAGCAGAGAAGGAATTCAAACAGATCCAGATAAAGTAATTACAATTAGAAATTTCCCCATTCCAAGGGACCTGACACAATTAAGAGGATTCATTGCCCTTGCATCCTATTACAGAAGATTTATCAAAGGATTTGCAAATACAGTTGAACCATTAAATAGACTGTTAAAAAATAATACACCTTATATCTGGACACAACAACAACAAGATGCTTTCAAACGACTTAAAAATTGTTTGATCACACCACCAATACTTGCATATCCTGATTTTCACAAACCCTTTGTTCTTTACACCAATGCTTCTTCTTTTGCTCTAGAAGCAATACTTTCTCAAAAGGATAAACAGAAAAGAGAATGAGTTATTGCATATGCAAGTAGAGCATTAAGACTACCTGAGAGAAAATATTCAGTTACAGAACAAGAATGCTTAGCTGTAATTTGGGCTGTTAAATATTATCATCATTACTTGCATGGAAATAAATTTACAGTAATCACTAATCACACTATCTTGGCTTATTTAAAGAATATAACAAACCCTGTTGGAAGACTTGGACGTTGGCTAATGATACTTAACGCATATGATATTGAAATTATTAATCAACCTGGAAAACTTCATACAAACATAGATACATTAAGCCAAATACAAGACTAAAAAGTTTTTCAACCACAAGCTTGATAGTAAACGGATTTGTTTATAACGGACACTCTAACGATAATTCTTTTCTGATTTAACCTAATATGGACTCGGATACATATTTTTCACTGGTATACTATCTCACGGAACTCCAAATGCCAACACAATTAAACTAACAACAGCAAGCAGCAATCAAATGAAAGTCAAGATATTTTATTGTAATAGAAGGACAGCTTTATAAAAAGAATAAGCAAGAACAATACCACCACTAAAAGTTGTCAAAGTTAATGAAGTAAATATAATACTATATAATTTACATTCTGATCAACTGGCTGGACACTTTGCATTAGAAGAAATGTACAGGAGAATCAAAATTAGATACTATTGGCCACAGATGTACGATGATGCTCGACGATATGTTCAAACTTGTGATGAATGTCAAAGAAGAGGCAAGAATAAGAGAACTGAACCCCTACACCCAATAAAAGTTGGACAACCTTTTGATCGAGTAGGTATGGACATTGTTGGACCTCTACCAATGACTGAACGAGGAAATAAGTACATTGTAGTAGCGACAGATTATTTAACGAAATGGCCAGAAGCAAGAGCATTGCTAAACGCAAAAGCATCATCAGTAGTTTCCTTCTTTATGAAGATATCATTTGTAGACATGGATGTCCAAAGGAGCTTTTAACAGATAGAGGAACACATTTCGTCAATGAAATGTTGGATTCCTTGTGCAATGAATTGGGAGTAAAACACAAATTGACCACTGCGTATCACCCCCAGACCAATAGACTTGTGAAAAGATTTAATAGAAACTATGTGAAACTTTGGCAAAATTTGCAAATGAAAATAAGAATGATTGGGATACCTTTGTTCCTTTCACATTATTTGCATACCGTACAAAAAGGCATAATACCACAAGACATGAACCTTTTTATCTAACATATGGAAGAGAAGAACTTTACCAATAGAGTTTCAAGTACAAACACAAAAGGTACAAGCAAAGGAAACCAATGATGAGGATGATCTATTAAATCGTGTACGATAAATAACTGTGAGAATAGATCACGACATTAATCAAGCGCAATCAAATATAGAAAAATCCCAAAGAAAACAAAAGGAACAACATGATAAAAATTTAACAAATGAATATACTTTTAAGGTTGGAGAATTAGTTTTATTGCATAAAACTGAAATACAGGACAAAAAGAAATTAGAAGAGCGATGGAAAGGATCATACTATATTCATGCAGATCTTGGGAATGGAGTGTACAAATTAAGAACAATGGATCGCAAAGTACTAAAAGTGCCAATCAATGGCGCAAGGCTTAAAAAGTACCACCAATGTGCACTATCTGAACCAATTGTATTAATTGAGAATTGATAATTAATGTTACAAAAAGTTCTTGATATTACTTCCTTTTAGATATATATACAAGTACAATTAGCAGTAAAATTTCTTAAGAAAAACAAAAAAATGGAAGAATTTGACATCCTACCAACTTATACCGAAATCTTATCTCAAAATTTTCAATTGATTCTCGAAGATTTACAAAGAATTGAACCACAAGAAGTAGCTATATATTCTCCACCATATGATGATACAATGACATTAGAAATAAAGTTCTCCTTGACAAAACGAACGTTCCTAAGAGCTAAACGAATACATAATCGTATTCTAATGATGACAAATGCTTTCTATCTCAGAAGACTGATAAAAATAATTAAGGATCCTGTTACAAGGACTATGTATTTCAAAAAGATATCTGGATACTATTATCGAACAGCCATTCAAATTTATTATCTTTTTGAATTTATAGGACCAGATCAAATTGCGAGAACATATCATGCGACCTTAAAAATGGTTGAACGTCTCTCAGTAACAGAATATAATACTCTCGTAGAAAAGGCTACTGATATTTTTGCGGGGATGCAAAATCTTGAAGGAGAGTGATGTTACACAAAAATCATTAGGATGATCTTCTTAATGTAGATCCTTAGAAACTATGTTAACCTTATTAACCTCATTTACGTCATCTACGCCGTTTATTTAGTTAACTTAGTTTATTTATTTAATTTATTTTCTTTATTTTCTTTAGTTTATTTATTTAACTTAGTTTATTAATTATATTTAGTTTATTTATTTTACATTGTTAATGATTATATATATTTTATTTTATATAAATATGAGTTGAGAATCTTTAGAGATTCAGGGTGTCGAGAAAGAACATACAGAGTAAAGACTTATAGGAATAATCTAGATTAGTTTAGTTTGATTATTTAAAACATTTGTACAGTACAGAAGCGCTGACGTTTGAGGCAGTACTCATTTGTTAGTATATATCAAATAAACTACCGATACCTATATTTTACTTAATCTCAACTATAAATTAAACCTTCTGCTTACCACATATATTACCTATTCGCTTATAACATTTAAGCAACATAAAGAACTGACCGTAACAATAGTATACATCAATAGAAATATCCATTAAAATACATCATGAAGAAATTTGAGTGGTACCCTTTTTGTTATCAAACTACTGAAAGAAATGTACAATATATTTTTGAGGACTTGCTAAACAAAAAATTCCTATCCTGTAGACCATCATTTTTGAATAGAATGCAACTCGATAGGTATAATGAGGAATTACAACTAGCATTCAAATTTCATGATCATCAACACTATACTCTTAATTTAATATTCTATAGGAGAGAAGGTATAGATTTAGAAAAACAGAGAATGCATAATTAGAAGAAGCAAATTATATGTAAGGAGTAAAGATGAGAACTGTAATTAATATGTTGCAACTTTTAATGTTGCAACTTATGTTGCAATTAGTTTTAACCTATATATGTTGCAACTTATAATGTTGCAACATATGTTGCAACTAATTTTAGCTTATGTTGCAACATTTTGTAAATTTGAAATCAATTGCTGTACCATCTTTAGTAAGGAGCAAGGTATATGTCTTATCGAAGTGCTGTATATATATAACCTTTTCCCTTACATTAAGCATATGCTAATTGAGAAAGGATTTTTGAACAAAATAAGCGATTAAAAAATTCTTGAGAAATTTCAGCATAATATGCAATACTATATGGAATTCTTTGTGTATAATGTTAACGAGATTCCCAGAAAATCTTTGGAGTAAATAAAGGAAAATAAATATAGTCCAGACTGGCTTTTTCGTGTTTTAGTAACTAGAGGCTCACATAATGGAAAAACCAATATGGTTATAAACCTTATTCTTAATAATAAACTTCAACGCATATTTAAAGGTAAGAAGGGAATAGATATATAAAAAATAGTAATCTCATATTAGTTGGAAAGCACGTTGAGCCTAAATAGGAGCTGGTAAAAAATGCTATTCAAAGAATAAAGGCAGAAAAAATTCTGGATATAAGCAGATTCTTCCTAAAAAGAAGCACTGTTATTGTTTTTGAAGATCTTTGCGCTGAATCAAAAAAAATATAAGAACAGATTGTTTTTTACTTCATTAGTGAACAGTATCAAAATATCTCACCAATATATATGACCCAAAAATATCAAGCTGTGCCAAAAATAATTCGTGAAAATATTTCACATCTAGATATATTTTGAGGGAGTAGAAGTCAAGACGATATCCAAAGAGTTGTGCAACAATATACAGATAATCCAAAAAAGCATCCAAGATTATTTGACAAACATTGCAAGATCGGAATTTTGTGTCTTCAATTTTACTAAGGCAACTGATGATCCATTAGCGATTAGACTCAGTTAGAATACAACCCTCAAATTGCATAAGTAGAATTCACCTTCACTGATGCCAGCTTTTTTTCTGCCTCCTGTATCTGCATCTTCAGATCCTCATTTTCACATCACAATTTCTTATTTGCACTAATCCGCTTTCTATATTCCCTTTCTATTTCTTGCATGAATTTCTCAAAAGTTCTTTTATTATAATCAAGGAAGTGCTGATGAAATAATTTAAGTTCATTCATGACCTGGTGATTATTCTCTTCCTCATGATCACAAGTAGTAATATTGGTTTGGGTTCCATTTTCTGTGACAAGTATACATGGTATTTTTTTGAATGATGTTGGGCACTCCGGCCAACTATGAGTTCGTCTCTGACGCATTAATTTTTTCTGATATCTAATAGCTTTATGTTTTAAAAACGACTCTACAATTGGATTAATTTCGCTGGCCTCTTTCTTAGATAATTAGGGAAGCTGGTAATTTTGATAGCAAGTTAGGATATGCCTGATTAAATGCCATTATATATTTATTTATACATTGCGCAAAAAAATGGAATTTTCACCCCTCAATCAAAGATTTCGGGGTGGAATCATACTAACCAATTTGTCAGGTTGATTCAGAGAAATGGTTTATTTATTTCAATACATTACACACACCCTATCACCGCTCATATGTAAAAAGTAGATGCCTGCGAAACTTTATTGATATTTGTTAACAAAACGGTTGTGACAGCGTCATACGACTTGTGGCGCAATAAATTCTTTGATACATTATAATAGCGAAAAGACTAGGTTTATTTAAGAATAAGAATAGAATTATAATTAGCATTGATTAGAGCTGACCACTGTGTGTATATTGAAGAATTTATTGTTTTATTTTTTTGGGTGTGGTAAAGCATGCTGAAATTTCGTCAGAATTTCGTGATCGCCTTTTCCGCCCTGCTTGTTTGAAAATTTCATCATTTTGACCCTTCTGTTGCACAGCTTTGATGGTTTCTTGTACAGCAATCTGATAAATTAAAAAATGATGAGTGTTAAGGTCATTTCATGACATTAAGTGAAAAAAGTAAGCGGTTAAATATAGAAACCTTAATGTTTAATACTGCAGCCAGTATAACCAATACTGCTGATAAATTCTCTTCTTTATCCGGGACTTCCAGTATCTCTCCACGACGAATTCTACACACATACCCATGTGGGTTGTTCATATACATTATTGTCATCATTAAACCTACAAAGTCGGTAGATGATGAGTACAAAATTTGTTAGAGAAATCATGCAGAAAATTCATATACCCGAATGAGTTATTCTGACAGTTTGCAGTTTTGAACGTAATTCCCAATCGGTTTTTTTCATGAGTTTGACTAACATATCCTTTAGGGCCTTAGGTTGCTTTAGGGATGTTTCACTCAAAGATTTCGTTCCAAATTCATCCTCCCAATGTTTTTCCACTTCACCCATCCCATATTCATCATGGTCACCATTCCCAGTTAATCTTAATATCCAGTCCCCTTGCCGTCCCATTTTACGCCTTTGTGTATTCTTTCTCTTTCTATTTTTTCTGGTCGCAGTTGCGATACATGTACTTTCTCCTCTAGACAATGTGGATGACAATAAGGAAATGTAGTTATAATTTATACGAGAAAATAAATCAAGATTAATTTGTTACCTAACAACTGACGTTCCCTTAATATCTGCAAAGCCTTGGTCAACAATTGCATGCCAAATGTAGCAATTATACCATGATTCTAGATTCGGTTGTGTAAGTCCGCCATTCTCAATTTCTCTGGTTCTAAAGAAAGAATGTTTATGAGAATTAAATTGACAAAAAGAACATCGTAATGAAGGCAAATTTTCTAAAATAAATACACAGAAACTTACAATGCATAAAGTGCGAATCGAATGTAGTCTAGATCATGGTGGATGGAGGGATCGTAACTTGCGTTGAATCTATTATCGTGCTCATTAATTAGAGAACGTGCTTCCTTTGTACTGGTCTGCCAGAAAAAAGTTAGTGTACACATCATCTGTATGCATTGAGACTATTTATCAATTACCCAATCAATTACCCAATCTATAACTTACTACGTTTATAAACTTATTTAAGTATTCAATTACGTTATGGGGAAGGTCTGGAACCTCTGGAACTGGCGCATCATCTATTTTCTCTAGTTCATGTTCACTGAAGTGCTCTTTGATTATTTCATCGTCAGTGTCTATTATAAAAGAATGAATAGAACTAATCCATACATTTATATTAAATTATATATATATTTCTACCATATGCAAGGATAATTTGTATCATAAAACTTACTGTTCGAATTCCAGTTGCTTCCCGATATTATAAAGCTCTTCTTCTACAAACTTTCCACTTGATAATTTCCACATGTTGCTGTGCTTCATCTTCGTATAAGCAATCTCAATCTCTGTTCGTCCTGCATCGCTCAGCTTGAATGGCCCCGACTACATAAAACAGTAAAAAAATTGTTTACTTTTCAAAATGGCATTATATACATCTATAACTCACCTTTCTCTCCTTCTTATTCTGAGTTTTAAGATAAACATCGTCCGACTCTTCGGATTCAGATTCCTCATGTTCAGGTCCCTCATGTTCAGCTTCCTCAGATTCAAATTCCTAAAGCCAGAAATTCCCAGAACTTAACCAATATCCTCTGTACATATAACAAAAAAGAGATAATTACCTCTTCCGATTCATTTTCATCTTCTGTGGGCCTGGGGATTTCGTCACTAAAGGTGACAGTTCTGATTTGTGCACATCTGAAAGGTAAGAAGGCGGACTATACATTAAAAAACATGATGGAAAAAATATAACCTTATCCTCTGGTGTACATGGCCGTTCCAGGACAGCTTTCTTAACCCGATCTCCTTCCACTACGTTTCTGTCGAAATTTTCTGAGCCATTCCTACGAATTTTTCAGCAATTTGTTTATGAATTGTTACTGCTGCATTTGTGTGATTTTGCATCTGTCGGACCTGTAAGATTATTGATTAGTACAACCTTAAGATTTTATATAAAGAAATGGTGAAAACAAATTACCGATGAACATTCAATATCAGCCAATCGCACTTCTTGTTCACTTTGTAACTCAGCTATTTTCTTCTTATCCTTTAATGTCTGGAAATAATTAGTCTTATTCATGTTGGTTTTCCATTCCTTTCAGTGTATTCATTGAAAAGTATATAGAAGGATAGAATGGATAGAAAATATTAGTTCATATCCTTTAGATAAACACAAATAAATAAAGGCCAGTCTAAACGTAGGAATCCGTGGCGAACACGTAGTTCAACACCCGACTGACAAGTAGTCCCTTTGATGTGCCACAGGAAGCGAATTTGAATGGCGAACACGTAGTTCAACACCCGGCTGATACGTAGTCCCTTGGATGTGCCGCAGAAGCACATATCCATATTCTCACCTTTAATCTATTAAGCAAATCGTCTGCCTTCTTCTTTACGTTTACGTTAGAAACATTCTTGCTGTAATTATTGAGACCACTTTTCATGTAAGTGATTATTTTTTTCTTGTCGTCAGAATGATTGATAGCGATCCAATCTGCGAAGTCGTCAAGAGTCCAATTTATTGGTGAGGTGGATTGTAAATAGTCTCCTGTGAGTGCCATATTTGCCAATATGAAAAAGAAAAAAAAAGAAAAAAATCTTAAATCAGAAAAAATTGCGCAGTTATTTTTATTAGTCACGTAAGCGTCACAATTTGTAATGCTTACTACAGTCCGGGGGATTTCCAAAAAAGATTTTGTGTAACCGAACATTGATCGAAGAAATCGGTTGTTCGAAAATTTTTTGATTGGTTATTTTAAGCTATAGATTCGTAGATGAGGATTTCTAGAAAAATTAAATGTTAGTTTATCAATAATTGTTGGAATAAACGCGTTTGAGTGTGCTTTTTCATAATCCATTGACCTTTATTCATAATCCACAAAACTGACCGAAGTATACTTTACCTTAAATTTGGGTTTTATAAGCTTTTTTTTTATTCAATTGTTTAAGAACTGTAACTGACTCTCGCTTATTTTTGACCCTTAGTGAATGCAAAAAAAAAACCACAGGCTAATACCTTACTATGCTTATTTGCTGCTATTACTGAAAAGTATTCAAATTTAAGCAAGTTAGTTTTATGTGAGACTAAACAAAAACAACAATGGTGACATGCATCAGGAAAGGTAGTATTTGAACGAATAGGTCTTTTTGCTAAGTATTTTCTAGAATTAGAATCGTTTAGTAAACATTTAGAGCATTATTCTTTTTATGAATGATATTATAATCAAATAATTGCTACTAATCATTTTCTTGAGCATTTAAAATCAATAGATACGTCAGACGTTTCCTCTATCAAAGTAAATCAACGTAAACAATCACGGAATGCTATTGATGATGATATATTTCAACCGCCAATAATTGATGATAATGTGCCTCAATCAATGATTAATCAGAATAAAAAAAACTGTTAGCGAAATTGGAATTCAAGATTCTTTACCAGATCCAAATATGAATAGCCTTCTATTGGAATTATCTCAGAATAAAGCAGACTTATCTGCTTTTGAATTTTAATAGCTGCAAGATATTAAACTTATAAATGAATATCAGCAAGTAATCTATGAAAATCAGCAAATTATCAATGAATTAAAATCTCAAATTAAAGACTTATCATTTGAAAATCAGTTATTAAGAGAACAATGGGATAATCGATTCAATAATCAAACAAAACGTATTGCAGCTATAATAGAAATTGCCCAAAAAGAGCGTAAAAATGTATATGGGTAGTATTCTATTAAAATTGAAGTACGGATCATATGATTTACTATATCTCGTAACCCACTTTTAATAGATCAGCTCCCATATAATGATATTATTGGTTTAATAAATGATCAAGAATGATTCAGTTTAGATAATCTTTTAAAGTATTTAATTTCTTAATGACTTAATGATCGTAATCCAATTATTGTTAAATTTGTAGCCCTATAAGAAATTTAAATAAGGAAATGATATATTTATTATAAGGTTTGTATACGTATTTACTGATTTCGTAGTAAATTACGTATATTTTATAATGATTTATTTTTTTATAATTTTTTAGAAAATTGATGTATACAGAATTATTAAGGAATTTGAAATAATGTATAAATTTTACGTAAAATAAAAAAAATAAAA